GCCTGAAGTTGCTGCTGCGTTGAAGAATCATGACTTAACACTAATCCACATTTTTGTCTCCAGTAGGTACAAAACTCACAGGGCTCTCTACAGTTATGTAGATGATGAGGCTTGTTTTCTGGTGCCAGTCCTGTGTTGTTTGAGTGTCCAGCAGGGCTTCTGTTCATTTCAATAGATTAAACACTCTTACTCAAAATAGCCCAGTGAGTGTTGATTGTCCTGTCAGTACTTCCCAGGCACAGCTTGCTTTCTTCTACAAAATGGATTAGGTACTCCATGTAGACTGTTATAAGAGCATAAATAGCAAGTGTAATTTGCAGCTGGCCATAGCCATTTAAAAATACCACATAGAGAAATAATTCTCCTCAAGATTTTTTGCTGCTGTTGCCACTTTGCCTCTAGCCTGTCCTGGGATAGAGTTAAGTTTCTCTCTAATAGCTGGTACAGCATTGTGTTTTGGCTTTAGTCTGAGAACAGTGCTGACAACACACTGATATTTTAGTTGTTGCCAAGTAGCACTTACCCTGATCAAGGACTTTTCAGTCTCTCATGCTCTGCCAGTAAGGAGGGGCACAAGAATCCAGGAGGGAGCAGAGATAGGATACCTGACCCAAACTAGCCAAAGGGGTATTCCATACTACAGCATGTCATGCCCAATATATTAATGTGGCGAAGCTACCTGGAAGGCCCAGATCACTGCTCGGGTTGGGCTGGGTATTGGTCGGCAGGTGATGAGCAATTGTATTGTGTATCACTGCTGTTTTTTTTTTCTGTCATTTTGGACAGTTTGGTTGTTTTTTGGGAGAGGTGTTTTGGGGGTGGTGGTGTTCCCTTTTAGTTTTAGATCTTTCTCCTTGTCATTTCCCTTTTCATTATTACTAGTAATAGTAGTAGTAGTATTGTGTTGTGCTTTATTTTAATTATGAAACTATTGTTATCTCAACCTACAGGTTTTCCTTTCTTTCCCAGTCTTCCTCCGCATCCCACTGGGGGTGGGAGGAATAAGCGAGCAGCTGTGTGGTACTTAATTGCCAGCTGGGGTTTAACCAGGATGCAGCCCCAGTACTACCGTCCAGGTACATCTGTGTGTTCTGGTTAACTCCACTGTAATAGCTACATCTGTCTTGTGTCAAAGTTATCGAAAAGGGAGACTGCTTTCTCTAGAACAAGGTAGGACTGGAGAGTACTCTCACTCTTAGCTCTCCATTCCACTAATTATTTTGGGAGCTTATTGTCTTTACTTGGTTCCTGATAAATCCTTCTTTCTTCCTCTCCCTGTCTGTTAATATCAGATCCTTTTGAAGAAAGGTAGGGCTCTTGGTATGCTATTTTCTTCTAGTACAACTTCTCCCTTTCAACTTCGCCCAGAATATGTTCTTAGTCAGACGGAAGATTGTACTGGGTGCATTAAGATGATTCTTCATTTTAACTCTGCCTCAATCGGAAAAGTGACAAAAGTATCCTAAGCAATCATACTAGTTCATCAGTGGGTTTGCAGCACCATGAGAGTTTGAAACTCTGCTAAAACATCTGTTTCCTGACAGGTTAGATTCATTGTTCTTGAAGTTAACTTCCGGAGTACAGCTTTGTGCCCTTAACAGCAAGAATTCAACAGGCTGGAGATCAGGCTGACTGCTAAGTGGAAAAGTTAGTGTTTTTTATGAAGGCACAATGCAGCACCTGCGTACTATTACAGTGTGGAAATTAGTCATTTGTCTGGTATAGCTTTTGGTCTGACAAATTCTGGAGGTAATAAAACAATCCTCATTTTTGTGGGTTTCTAAGTCATCTTCCCTTCTCTCTCCACCCACAAATGCCATGCACATGCCTTTCTTAACCATGCTGGGTTTGTAATGTTGGCTGAACTTGCTCATATCAATTTGTACAGAGGTTTTTTTCCCCTCCTACTTACAGATGAATTTTTTGAAGGAGGAATTCAGTTATCCTTTGTGTTTCCTTTACTGTGGCTCTATACAGTCAAGTTACAGACCTAAACCTGGTATAGGTTTTAATCCTTATATTCTTTTAGTTCTTCATTTCTAGAATGAAGGCACACAAAATATCCCCTTTCCATGGTTACATTTCTTCTTCTTCAAACCAGGAAAAAAGCAATGATTTTATATCAGTGTAATCCTTTCACTTGAAGAGAACTCCTTTTCAAAAGCCTAGCTGAGTAGGCTACAACTGTAAATTTTTTGGTAACTAGACCAAGGATTAAAATGAAGCCTGTTCCTTGAAAATGTGCTGATAGTTGTAGAGAGATTATGCTCTTTTTTGTATCTGTGAAATGTTCCTTTTACAGAGAAAGTCATGTTGCTTTTCCATTTCTCCCACTGGTGGAGAGAAGAACCTTAAAACAAGTCTTGTTAGGAGAGTTAGGAAACGAGACAACTAGTGCCCCTTCAGATCTGCCAGTTGTTGAAGTGTATCACAGTCGTGCTTTTACTTACTGCCTCCTACCCTATCTGCCTTGAGCAGCAGATCGATTTGCTTCGCAATAGCCTAAAATCACAGCCATGATCATCAGCTGCTGAGATGAACAGGGTATATCATGCCACACAATTGCCACTAGGTCAGTGGTATAACATGATTGGTGTTTGAACCTGCCACACCTCCATTTTGCTGCCTTTTCTCCTGTATTTTTTTTCTAGTACTTTTCCTGGTTTGCTTTGGTTTGGTTTGGTTTTCTGTCACCTCCTGTTAAATCAGAGCGTTGAAACCTCTGTGGTTCAGGAACCCCAGTGGCTAAACCCGTTCTCAAGGTCTGTCCTGTTGGACCTTAGCTAGCCTACTGGAAAACAAACTTCCAGATAATCAGGAAAAAGTTTCTGAATCTGCTTAGACCTTGCCACCAGCATTGGTTGTGGAAACTGGGGGAGAGCTGAGCCACTGAAGTCAGGGGACAGCTGTGGTAGGCATCTCCAGTGAGACAAGTGAATGCTGTTGAACTTGTCCTTCGGGGGTTTAAATCAGAGGTATCTCTTGTGCTTAGTAACAGCGAAGACTGTTGTCATGCCTTTTGCAATGAAATGCAAATCTCATGGGTAATAACCACAAACAGCATGATTTACCTAATAAATAAAGTAACAACTAGATAATGTGCAACAGCACTATGAAGAGCTTGTTATACGGGGTTCCCTCTCTCCTGGGGAGGTGGTGTACATGCTTCAGCATGAGGGTACTTGGTGGAAAACTTCTGCCAAGCAGGGTAACAAGAGTTTAAGAACACTGAGAATTATGTGCAGTGGAAACTACATATCATACATGTGCTGCTGGTTGTTGTAACACCATGGAGGTTTTATCTTAAATAGCAAAGAACCTAAAAACAGTATTTTCAGGCATTTGCCCAGGTTCTGGTTTTATGAATTTCTAGAGAAGCTGGAGAATAAATGGGTGACTGAAGCCCCCTAGTGCCACCAGAGCACACTTACTCCTTCCAAAATTGCGCTTCAATTTTTAATACAAAGAAACACTTTTTAAGCTAAAATACCTTGTGATGTACTCATTTTACACATGCAGTTGTTCACTTACTAGAAACCTGAATTCTCCATTATTTATTTTTCATGTCATCTTTAGCAAAGCTGTGCAAAAACCAAAAGGATTCTGTTTGCAACTGTTATCATTAATATTTGCTTTACCTTCAGCCTCCCTGTGTAGTTTTTTGCCTGCTAGTAAGGTAGGTTTTTTACCATAGTTATATCTCTACCCAAGAATGACTGGGGGGAAATACTACACAGCTAGTGATGTCTGATGCTGTGGTGTATTATATAACTTGGGAGTGGGAGGGATGGGGAAGAAAAAGTGCCAGTGAGGGAGGAGTGAGATTTGTGGGGTTTTGGGTTGGTTTTGAGGTTATTAGGTATGCGATGACCTAGGTACAGCAGTGTGGCTTACGGCTCATGTGGCTTAAAGGGAATTTATCCTAGCATAAATTTCCTTTGTGCTTAAAATTTGACTTAAAAGTGTATATTCACAACTAGCATGAAGCAGTACAGAGTTCTCCTCCTAGGGAAAGGTTAGAGTCTGGAAAATGGCACCATGTAAGGTAACTTAAAGGTGGCCTTAGACTATTATTGAAACAGCTATTTTCAGTATTTCTGTGTTGCCCTAGTCTCAGAATTTACTGGACCTGTGGCTTTTGTCCAAATGTATCTATTTACTCTTGTGGCAAAGTTTTGGCATTCTATCAGGTATGAATAGCAGCTAATAAAGCTGTAATAAATTAATGTTGGTGTTTAGTGAGTTGGTTGGCTTATCACTCTTGCCAGTCTGTAATGCTCTCCCTCATTTTGCTGTTGCACAGATTTTTAATAAGTAAGAGATGGTGTTGAGCATTGTCCAGAATATTATTTTGTGTTACTCTTTAACAATGAAAAAAAAAAAAATAGGAAGGGGGGAGATGTTAAGTTCGGCCTTTAGAAGTAAATATGGTTTGTTTTCATGATATTTTGTAAACCGGTGTTTTCAAAGTTGCCAAACAGACCTGAAATGTGCTCTCTGAGGGTAAAAAGTTAAAAAGAATCTTTTTGGTTAACATTAGATTGTACCTTTTGATCTTATTTTGAGTGTACTTTGGAAGCCTAGTACTGGTGGTCTGTGTACAAATTCCTGTTCTCTTCTTCACAGGAACTGCTCTTTAGGGCTATCAGTTCTTATAGTAAATGATAAATTTTGTCAAAATACATGGTTATGTCAGAATGGTTTGGGTGGTAAACTTCATTGTTTTTTTTTCTCCAGTTAGTAAAGGCATATCTCACAGTTTGTATTACAGAGAATATTTTATATTTTGTCTCAATTCTGTGCTGTTTTGGAGGACCGGTTGAGGGGAAGAAACCTAGTTTTGGGATTTTAAGTTGTGTGTGGCACTGAACATATCCTACCATATTCAGTGTTAATTCCTTAAACTGTTTTGGAATTGTAAATGTTTGTGTTTGGAATAGCTGGGGAATTTTTACAAATTAAAAAGGGAAACATTGTTTTATCTTTTCTTTTACCTGCAGTCCTTCAAGGATCTTATGCATAGCATATGAAGTTTTGCAAGGTTTGCAATATATGAACAAACATGGAATGGTCCACCGAGCACTCTCCCCTTGCAATATTCTTTTGGATCGAAAGGTACAATTACATGAATAAATCTATGGGTTTGTTTTGTTTGTTTTTCTCTTGCTGCCAATAAGTAGCATGCTATATATATATGTATATCTCCATATATATGTGTATATGGAGATTGGGCAGTCACAGTCCTTCTGATGGGGGAAAAAATGCATGTCTGAAAACATGTTGGTTTGCTTTTGGGTTTTTTGGGTAGGGGGCTGTTGGTTTGTTTTTGGGGGTTTGTTTGTTTTAACCTAGTTTCCCCCCCATTTCCTAAATTTCAAATGTATTTCAGATTTTATTTTTCTCCTTTGCCATTTTCTTGTATCCCAAACCACTTTTTTCACCCTTTTCTTCTGAAAGTGGTATTCTAAGCGTACTTATCATCATAATTAGTTACAAGACCTTCCTACTTGTTTAAATAGGGAAGTATTTTTCCTGGCTTACTAGCTGTTAATATTTTCTTTATTTCATGGTGATCTGATACTTGACTTTTAAGATATCAACATATTTCTTTATTCATGTTGGATTATTAAAATTCTAATGTCAGTTCTGTCACAGACTGTTCAGTTGGCAGTGTGGCATAGGTTATGCTAATAAAGGCTGAGAGAAACTGATAGCTGCTGTTGTACTCAAAGTAGTTGCTTTATCTGAACTTGACAGATAAAGAGCTTAACCTGTCTGCGTAACCTCTCTCTCCTTCCCCTTCTTACTGAGTTTAGCCGGAATAGCTAGAGCCTTCCTTTGGAAGACAGAAAGAAAAGAGAGGAAGAAGGAAGGAAGAAACACTATTTTTTATAGACTTTTAAATAAATGAAAATCATACTAATGTTCTCACAGCAAAAGTACTTTAGGATTTGAAGATATTCCTAAAATCTATAAAAGAACAAAATATGGGCCATGAAACAATAAACTTGAAACCTTTCCCCCTGCACTTTGAATAGGTTGCTGATGTAGTTGCACCATCTACAGGCTGGATGAGTATAATCAAAAACCCAGCAAAAATAATACCTCACTTTAACTTCTGAGCCTATTTTTTGCTGTTTCGGTGTTAACTCACTGCCTCCACAGAATAAAAACAAACACCTGGAAAACTTGTTTCTTTTATATATATGTTGATACAGTTAATGAGAGCAAAATAGTAATAAGTTGATTGAAAGAACTGGAGAATCAAAGCTGGGTAAATGAAAAAGGTGAGGTAGTAGTGGTGATGCTTAGGGAGTTCTAATATTCAAACAGTATTTTGAACAGTTTTCAAACAGGAAAGCCTTTGTAATTTACTGAAAATATACTGTAACTTACAAAGTTCTGATTTTCTTGTGTGGTCTGAACAAGGTGATTACTTAATGTGTTTGGAAAGTAAAAGCATTAGAAATAAGCATCTTACTAACTTTCAGTGCAGTTCTGCATAACAGATGACACAGGTGACTTTTTATCTGTCTTCTGACAGCTAAAGCAATTTCAAATGTTAGTGTTGTTTGTGGTTTTTTTTGTTGTTTTGGTTTGTTTGGGTTTTTATTGGTTTCTTTTTTTATTGGTTTGTTGTTGGTTTTTTTAACTTAAAACCGGATTCTTCCAATGTCAAATTTTGCTGCTCTTAATATTTTTTTTTTTTTTTCTTTTTCAGGGACATGTGAAATTGGCTAAATTTGGGCTCTACCATATGACTGCTCAAGGTGTTGATGTTGATTTTCCTATAGGGTAAGGATGTAGCTACACAGTAAAATTTAGCAGGGATTTATTTTTTTCAGGAAATATATTTGTGTTTTGAGGCATCATCTTCAAAAGTGTGTTGTATGCACAGGTTATAGGTTGTTGTTTTAATTCCTATATGGTGCATATAGCCCTTACACAAAGGCTTCTAGTCATGTGACTGAAGTGGCTCTCACCTGACTAGGTGAAATTAATGAAAGACAGAGAACAGGTGCCACACAAGCATGTTACTGTAATTGTGCTACAAGTTCTTACTGCCTAGATTTACCTTCAAATGCTAGCAATTCCTTATCAAATTCTGGAGGGACAATCTAATTTCAAATTTAGGAAAAAGCCAACCTAAAGCTCTTGCACACCACTGTAGGCCTCTCTTCTTTTTATCAGTCTGTGATTTATTTTCAAGTGATCTTACTGTCTAGCCAAAGTGATATGCTTTATTGCAGTGTTTCCTTGCCACTTTTTAGTTTCTTTTCAGGTATCATGCTGTTTACAATTGAAATACTAAATTGATTCTTAAAGATGCCTGAAAAAAGTAATGCTGTTTCCCTTCGAAGGGTGATTTCAGATTATTTTTTTAAGTATTATAATGAATTGTTGACACCAAAAGCAATAATGTTATTTGAAAATGACCTAGCAGAAGGTACAATATGTCCTGAACACATTTTCTTACTTGTTTTACAAATTCTATTTGGTGGGAACACTGTCAATAAGAGGGGGAATACTGCCACCACCCCCAGATATGGCTCTAGAATACATTTATTTAATGTCCTAGTGTTGGAACTCAATATATGTTTCTTTTGAGATATGTAGGCATATAGTTTTGAAAGCTGCTGTTAGTTCCTCTCACAAAAAAGGCAGAGCTAGTGATTAAGATCTGACCTTTTATACAGTAGGGACTATGTATTTTGCAATTGGAGTGAAACTTTGCTGCAATGTGTAGATTTTGACTGAATAGAGTAGAACAATCTGCATTGCAATGAATTCCAGTTTCTCAGAATACAAAATTATTTTGATTACTGTAACTGAAATGTAGTTTTTATGGACAGACAGGGTATTACTTAATGTCGCTGTATCTTTCTAGGCACCCGTCATATCTGGCACCTGAAGTAATTGCACAGGGAATAGTCAAACCAAATGATCATACTCAGTGTGAGAAGCCTCTGCCTTCTGGCCCTAAATCAGATCTGTGGTCTCTTGGTATAATATTATTTGAGCTTTGCATGGTAAGTTAGAGGATAATTCTCTTGATTGTGACTCTTGAAGAATAGTTACATTAACTTGATTGCTCTTGAATATGGGGTTAATAACACTTTGACCATCACCAAAATCCAAATATCAGAATACATTAGCATTCCTACATGTACAGATTTGGTGGTGGTTCAAGTAATCGGGTGCATATTGGCTTGGTCTGTGTATATGTATGAACCATGAAGGACAGCTGTGAATGCATGATTGAAGTCCTAGAGAGTAATACCTTCTGAACCAAGAAGTGTCTCTGGATATTTTTTGTTGTTGTTTTAATTGTGCTTTTAAGCATAAAATAACCATTGCACTCATGCCCTCATCCTTCTTGGAAAGGATGACAAACTACTAAAAGTTTCATGGAAAGGAAGAGAAGGGAAAATCTGTCTTATCACCAGAGTTTAAGGAACTTGTGAACAGAATTCAGTGTTTGTTTGGAAAATTCTTATTTGACTCTTATCAGTTGAAATAAATTATGACAGTATAGTCTTTACTATTAATATATGTTAAACTGGACTTTTTTCATTCAAAGACAACAGCATTCTATAGGAATATATATGATCTAACAAATAATATTGATATTTAGTCTCATATAAGACAACTAAATTGTCAGACAATTGCATGGTTAAGAACGTGTTTTAGATACTAATTGGATCAGGACACTGGAAATAGTCTTCTTTGGCATACTCTAATTTTCTATAAATTCACGTAGTGTTCATAGATCATTATTTATTGTTTTGAATAATACATTTTCTGAAAGCAATAATGATATTTTTTGAAATACTTTTAGAGGGGTTTTTCAGATGACTTTTCAAAAGCACTGAGCAGTAATGCAAGCTATGATGATTACCATGTTTATTAAGTAATTACCTTTGTTCATGCTCAGACTGGAAAAAAATATGGTTTTTGAGAGCCTGATACTGAATTAATAATAGACCTGGAGGTTTTCTAAGGCAGTTTGGGGCTTTTTTTTTTTGGTTGTTTTTTTTGGTTGTTTTCTTTGGGGGGGGAATTGCATTTGTTCCAGTTAAGAGATGTTATAAATGATATATTTCTTTTCATTATGGTGACATGAAACTGTTTCTGCTATAGTTGGGGTAAGTAATGTTTTCTGTTCTAGCAAATAGTTTTCCTAAATGTAAAAATTCAGGTGTAGAAACTTATTTCACTGTGTTTGTATATGGATGGGTGTGCATGCTATCTAATTTTTTTTGTGTAATAGCATTCAGCTGTTGACTTGATTTTGTTATTTATTTAGGGGAGAAAATTATTCCAGAGTTTGGAGATAGCAGAAAGATTGAAATTTATAATTATGTTAGGTAAGTAGCACAAAATCAATATTTCAAGTTTCCAAGCAGTTTTATAATTAGAGCTTTACAGACTGTTCAGCTCCTCAGACCTAAAGCAGTTTGCCTTTTGTCAACTTTCATTTCCAAAATTAAAGAGGCATTTGAAGCGTGGCTGCTTGGCTAGGGAAGGTACACAGGTGGATGATAGGAAAAATAACTTATCAGGAGAGCTATGAGTATGTTAGAGTAAAAGCAGGCTATAAAAAAGCAACCAACTGAAAAAAGAAAAAAAAAAACACCATGCTCTGGAAATGTTGTCATTTTGATGGTTATTTGTTGTTTCTGGAGGTTTATGAAACGAGTTAGGAATTACATGACACTAAAAAAGACTTCCCCTGAACTAGCAGTGCTTGTGAACCAGATCCCAAGCAGGGAGAAGCAGGACTGAAAGAGGAAGACAGAAAATAAAAAGAGAGCTCAGAAGTGTGCTACTGGATCCATGCCTTTGTTTCTGGTGTCACCTAGAAACTATAAAACATTACTGTAGACATGGACCTTTTTCTTAATGCAGATAATCCTGAAAGTGGTACTGTTTTGTGGCTTTTGAAATTTGATTTCTTGGGTTTATGTATAAACCCCGAGGAAGAGAAGGGCATGAATTTGCAATTTGAAGCTTTATCAGGAAGTTATTATTATCCAGAACAAATAATAATACAGTTAAAGTTAGTTACTGTTAGTAGAAACATTCAGCAGTTAGTGCTCAGATGCCGAAATTCTGACTGTTCTGGTAAGCGATTTGTTAATAAAGCTTCCTGAAGCATTTCGGTCCCCTTCAAGCTGAATGCAAGTTACTGGTAACCTTTACCCACTAGAAAACATTCATGTCCTGTCTTGGGAATTATTTTCTCAATAAAGTGTTGAAAACAAGTTATAAAATACTGCTAGTATTGTCTGCAAGTAGCAACAAAATGAAATTACTTCAAGATTCTATATGCAGGTATTTTTAAGTTCTTTCAAGTTGTTTTTTTGTTTTCTGGGGTGGTTTTTTTAAGTAGAAAGACTATTTTAGTTTATTTGCCTGGAGGCTAACAATCTGGATTTACTAAGCCTGCAAAAAGTTTTTCACTGTTAAATTAGATGTGCTGCTTAACTTTCTTAGGCTTCAGTTTTCTGTCTGCATAGATGATAATAATAATTTTCATTTCTAACTTTGAGAATTCATTTTCAGGTGATGTGACAATGTAAATAAAAAGCCAAAGTTAAGTGCTTTTTATTGGGGTGGGATTTTATCTGATATCCTATGTAACTGGGATCAATTTTTTTTATAGTCTTTAACTTTTTATTGTCCCGTTTGTCTTTCAAAGGCTGTGTAGATGATATTGTAACTGTATTGGCAGAAGAACATGGTTGCCTTGATATTGTTAAGGTTTGTAGAACTAGCTTGCTCTTCTATGCTGTCTTATCCAAAACATTTTATTATTATTGTATTTCACACATTCAAACTTTTTTTTTTAAACTTATTTGGTCACTCAATGTATTGCAGTATGAGAAAAAATAAACTACTTATTTAAGATCCTTTCAAATAGCCATAGTGGTAATACTTACTGTTTCCCAAATTACTGTCAATTTCAGTAAATATTAATGCTCTCTGGATAGTTTACTAAGTTGTGAACTTTATTTGAATTGTCGGGGTTAAATATTTTTTTTTTAGATATTTAGTCTTCAAGATAGAAGTTCACTTTGCACATTCTGATAGCATAGGTTTATACTGTTCAACTCCTTCCCACCCCCCCAGTTAATCACTGAATTGTAGTGTCTGTATGTTTTGAGATATTCTGTTAGCAGAAGATAGTTCCCAGGTACTGTGTTTTTTCAAGCTGGGTACAGAATATCTAAATTAAAAATAAAAAGCTGTGCTGCAAACATTGCAAATTTTTCAGGTTCTCTCTCCACCCCCCACCCCCCTCCCCAAACAAATGCAGGTGAGAATTGCTTCCCCAGCATTTTGGTCCAACACAGCTAACCTCATAGTGTAGGTGTGAAATTTTATTGGCCGCAAAGGAGGGCAGTGTATGTTAAAAGTGAGGTATGAGCTAAGTGGCCTGCTGAATTAAGACCATAATAGAGACCTCCATATTTTTTTTATGTTCCAGGACCTTTCTGAAAATATCATAGCTTTACTGAAGAAATGTCTTACATTCCAACCTTCTAAGAGGCAAGTATTCAGTCCAAGTCCTAGTAAACTTTGCTGATATATTGTGAAATTAGAAGACCTATTGCTGAGCCTTTTTTGGAAGACTGATGATTTATGGTGCTGATAGGAGATTCTTGGGTTTGTTGCTTTTCAGTTGCAGGGGTTGTGTGTGCAGGAATCAATTGTGCAAAACTTTGAGATAAAATCTGAGTGTTGTGGGGGTATTTGTAGTCCTAAATTCACAGGTTTTACTTCCATGTCTGGAAGTTGGTGGTGGTTACTGTAGCTCTGAAATAGCTAGAATTAGGGCTATTTTCTTCATATCTCTTAAAAGTACTTTTCATTATGTCAGTCTACCACAACTTTCTTCTGAAAACTGAAGTATGCTTTTGTTCTTCAGTCAAAGCTTTGCATTTGCATTTTTTCATTTCTGCTTAAAGGAATTAAAGGGAAATTAATAAAATGGTTGTGGTGTGCATTAAATGAAGGTGAGATCTGAACTTGGGCTGTAAACAGACTGTGTAGTGTGTTATGCGTCAGGAATTAAACAAAACTGGTAGATGTTTTTGCTACTAAAATTTCTGAAATCCATTATAATTTAAAATAACTTACCAGTATTTCTTCTTAGGGACATTTCACACTGAAATGTAACATTTCTGGAAGCATTTTAATGCTTAATTCTCTTTTCTTAATTCAAGGCCAACTCCAGAAGAATTGCTGCATGACAGTTTGTTCAGTGAGATATCCTCATTATATCCTCTCTTCCACAAACCTGCTGGTCTGTTCTCATCTTCTCCAAGATGTGCTGATTTAACACTTCCTGAAGACATAAGTCAATTATGTAAAGGTAAAAGCAGGTATTGTGATAAATGTCATTGCAGGGGGAAGGAAAATAAAATGTAACTGTGTTTTCTTTTAATATTTTGTTGGAGGGGAACTGATTAAATATTACAACACTACATTATTGTAGGAAGTTGTTTGATGGGCAGCAGTATGGGCAAGCATGTTTTGAGAGATATGTGCATGTCAAAAGAGGGCATCTTGATTTTGCGCAACAATCTTGGGGAATAAACAGTTATCATTAATATTCAAGTCCAGCTTGGAATATCAATATTTTTACCTTTGGAATTTGGACATGTGCATGTACAGGGGTTTGTTTTGTTAGTTTTTGGTTTAGGGTTTTTGGGGGGTTTGGTTGTTGTTTTGGTTTTTTTTTTCACTAAATTGTGTTGTGATTTGGTAAGAGGATTCTGCTGGATCACAGCAGATTTTTGGAAGTATTGGAAATCCTCGTGAAAAAGGTCACATTCTAGAATAAAAGACAACATTTCTAAGTTTAAAACTGCATATGCTGAAAGTGTTACCACTCTGAAGTCCTCATTAACTTTTTCTGAATTCTTCAGAGTTTTCCACTTGTTCAGAAACTGTCATTAAACAGTTTTGGGAGATTAAGACAGTGTTTGGGTTTAGGCTTTTTTGTTTGTTTGCGGCGATGGTTGTTTTTGTAAAGACACACAGGAAGGGAAAGTCCACATTTCAGTGTATTTATACAATTGGTGCTATTTTCTGGCACCGAGGCTAACTGCACAAATATTTGGTTTTGGGTTTTTTTTTGACTTTTACCCATCTACTCTTTCTCAAAATCTTCCTAAAGAGCACTTGCAAAGGGAAGATCACTTTTCTGCTAACTTCACATTAAGGTCTAGGACCTTTAAAGCATGGGTGTTTGTTTTGTTTTTTTTTTTTTTACAGTATGTGTTTGGAGTGGTAGGAAGAAATACAGGTTACCTAAAAAGCTGTAATTAATTTTTGTGTGATTTCTTCTAATAGATGAAGATAATGATTACCTAGCAGAAAGATCAATTGAAGAGGTTTATTACCTGTGGTGTTTGGCTGGAGGAGACTTGGAGAAAGAACTTGTCAACAAGGAAATCATTCGATCAAAGCCACCTGTCTGCACGCTTCCCAAGTAAGGAAGGAGAAGCACTTTAAGGGAAAGAAGAATGGATGGAGAAGGCTAGTGTTCTGAGAAAACGTTTTGGTTTGGTTTTTAGTTTCAAGACCTGTATTCATGAAAAATATTGAAAATAGCATTCTTGAACAGCAGGAAATCATGTCACTTCCCCTTTTGCCCAATTCATGGCATTATTTGAGTGCCTTATATATGTTGCCTGCCTGCACTTCATAGTTCTTTCTGAAATCTGAAGAAATGTAGCTGAAGTGCAAAACACTGAAATGTAAGTCCCTAAATTTAGCACACTTTACAATACCATTAAGTTTTAGTAAAAATGTCTCACTGTGCTTCAACAGTGTATTTGTAATTGTAATTTAATTCAATACATTCTATAGCAAATTCTCACGTTCTGAATCCCTTTCGCAGGGCAGCAGAGCTGAATGGACAACCCAGTTATTCATCAGATTGGCTAATTTACTTTTAAAAAAAAATGTAGGTTTATGACTTACAGTTCTGTGAGAGCGTTTTAGTCATTACTGCCTTTATCTTACTGCTACATGTGTTGCAATTTTATGTAGTGTATTCATGTTTTATCTTAGAAGCTGATCTTAATAAGCATGATTATGTGTCCATATAGATCAGTTTGCTGGTTCTGGGTTTTAAAAACACAGGAAGTCAATGTACAGCCAAAATGTGGTAACTGGAAAAAAAACAGGTGAAGCTAGATTTTATGTGAAATTTGGTGGCAGAATTAGTGTGGATTTCAAGGGATTGCCTATTTCTGTACCCACAGGTGTATATGCATGTCCTTTTGAATTGTGAGGGGAAAATACTTTTGTCACACTATCTGTGTTGAAAATTAGGTGTTCATTTCAAAAGTACAATCTAACTCCATCTTCTAAGTGGTACTGAGAATGCTAGCTTAATTTTTGGAAAACTTCATGTGATCGGCTTTAAAAATATCATAAAATAGACAATTTGTGTGTGCCGTGTTGTATGCATTTGTATTCTTCGACAGACTGCAACAGGAAAGGTCTGTGTCAGACTTTTGTTTGGGTTTTTTGTCATGGTGGGAAATGGCTTTCAGATTACAATAATGTCTTATTTTTGCTTTTCACAATAAATGGCAGTCCTGGTCTGTGCCAGGCCAAGGAATAAAAGGGAATATTAATCCCATATCTCATTACTGTTCTTTTGTGTGCAAACAAAAGTTATAGAAAATCTGAGATGTGCCTTTTTTACTCCAAAACCTGTTTGAATAATTTGAAGCAATTATACATTCCCTTGATAGCAGGCTTCATGCCATGCAGAGTCGATACAGTATACTTCTAAGCACAAGTATTTTGTTTTAAAGAGGAAACTGATACATGTAAAAGTGTTTTTTGTCGTTTTTTTTTTAATTCAAGTTTTGTGTTTTAAAATTACCTAATTTTTTTTTTCCTCCCTTTTGAAGCTTTTTGTTAGAAGATGGTGAGAGCTTTGGGCAAGGACGAGATAGAAGTTCCCTCCTAGATGACACAACTGTGACTTTGTCTCTGTGCCAGCTCCGAAACGTAAGAAGAATATTGTGTACTTGTTCTTGTCTTCACTGTAGAAACATTTGTTTGAAGGGAATATGTAGCAGCAGCTCCTACTGCTGTTTCTTCCAATGACAAATGGTCCTGAAGGAGCTGGCAAATGAAGTTGCGAAGCCGCTGGCCATCATATTTGAGAAATCATGGCAGTCAGGTGAAGTTCCCGATGACTGGAAAAAGGGAAATATAACCCCCATTTTCAAGAGGGGGAAAATGGATGACCCGGGGAATTACAGACCAGTCAGTCTCACCTCTGTGCCTGGCAAAATCTTGGAGCAGATTCTCCTGGATGGCATGCTAAGGCACATGAAAAACAACAAGGTGCTTGGGGACAGCAAGCAGGGCGACACTAAGGGTAAAACCTCCCTGACCAATTTGGTGCCCTTCTATGATGGGGCTACAGAACTGATGGACAGGGGTAGAGCAGTTGATGTCATCTACCTGGACTTGTGTAAAGCGTTTGACACTGTCCCACACAACATCCTTGTCTCTAAATTGGAGAGACATCAATTTGATGGGTGGACCACTCGGTGGATAAAGAACTGGCTGGATGGCCGCACACAAAGAATTGTGGCCAATGGCTCAATGTCCGGCTGGAGACCAGTAACGAGTGGTGTCCCTCAGGGATCGGTGTTGGGACCGGTCTTGTTCAACAGCTTTGTTGGTGACATGGACAGTGGGATTGAGTGCGCCCTCAGCAAGTTTGCTGATGACACCAAGCTGTGTGGTTCAGTTGATTCGCTGGAGGGAAGGAATGCCATCCAGAGGGACCTCGACACGCTTGTGAGGTGGGCTGATGCCAACCTCATGAAGTTTAACCATGCCAAGTGCAAGGTCCTACACCTGGGTCGGAGCAATCCCAGGCACAGCTACAGGTTGGGCAGAGAAGAGATTCAGAGCAGCCCTGCGGAGAAGGACTTGGGGGTGTTGGTTGATGAGAAAATGAGCATGGGCCGGTTTCAGTGTGCGCTCGCAGCCCAGAAAGCCAACCGTATCCTGGGCTGCATCAAAAGGAGCGTGACCAGCAGGTCGAAGGAGGTGATCCTGCCCCTCTACTCTGCTCTCGTGAGACCTCACCTGGAGTATTATGTGCAGTTCTGGTGTCCTCAATATAAAAAGGACATGGAACTGTTGGAACAAGTCCAGAGAAGGGTCACGAGGATGATCAGGGGACTGGAGCACCTCCCGTATGAAGACAGGCTGAGGAAGCTGGGGCTGTTCAGCCTGGAGAAGAGAAGGCTGTGTGGAGACCTCATAGCAGCCTTCCAGTATCTGAAGGGGGCCTATAGGGATGCTGGAGAGGGACTCTTCATTAGAGACTGTAGTGACAGGACAAGGGGTAACGGGTTAAAACTTAAACAGAGGAAGTTTAGGTTGGATATAAGAAGGAAATTCTTTCCTGTGAGGGTGGTGAGGCACTGGAATGGGTTGCCCAGGGAGGTTGTGAATGCTCCATCTCTGGCAGTGTTCAAGGCCAGGTTGGACGAGGCCTTGATATGATATGATTTAGCATGAGGTGTCCCTGCCCATTGCAGGGGGGTTGGAACTTGATGATCTTAAGGTCCTTTCCAACCCTAACGATTCTATGATTCTATGACAGTGTTGTTGATTCTAAGAGAATACTTCTTAGTGTCCAATTAGATTCTGATTTATGCTTGTAGATTGCTTTGTCTGGAGAAGCTTACTAAATATGATTTATTTTCTGTTCCTCAATCCCCTCATGTGTCCTTCCCTTTCCCTATTTTTGTTACCTACTTTGTTCTGGTGAAGCCCAAATAGTTCTGTGGTACCTGATATTCTCCAGTATCGCTAAATTAATTGGACAGTGTCATCTTGCATTGTTTAATTCCTCTCTGTAGGTGGCACACAAGATCCAAAAGAAAGATAAACTTGATTCAGTTGCAGTTCCTGAAAGCCTTTATACCAAGTTTCTAGTCACTAATTACTAATCTTTGGAATATATAGTTATGAAACAACTAGTTCAAAAGATTACTTCAGAGCATTTTGCCTGAATGCAGTAGTGCAATTTTCATCTTCAGTGGAAAAATCAACATGAGATAACTCATAATTTTGTGTGATGTCATGATCAGTTGCAAGATTTACTGCATATATTACTGAAATGTGGTAATTGTTCATGTCTCTGCACATGTAGAGCTTTATTGCTGTAGAATTAAAAATTTATGCTGTACTATTTGCAGCTTGCTTTTTATAGCAGTGGATGCAATTCTGTCACAGTCTTTAGAAAGAACCTTTCCATATGATTATAGGGGTTAATACAGAAAGAAAGGTGACTCCTGAAGTCTTAATCTTTGCCACTGTTATCTTAATTTTAGTGGCAATGTGGCAAATACTGTATAAACATATTTCTTTGGTAGAACTTTGCATTGCTTCACGCAAATGCATGAAAAGAGACCAAATAACTGGATTATTTTGTTGCTTGGTTGGTGGGATTTGAGGGGGGCAAGCAAAAGAGGTTAAGAATATGCAACAGCTATTTTGAAGGTGACATGCTCTGCACCTCCTACTGTTGTTCCTAAAAAAAAGGGGTAGCTTTTAAGGCATTTTTTAAAACTTTTTAATCAGTAATTTTGGGTATCACCCCCTACTTCTACAAATGCAGCAACAAATAAGTATATACTGAAATCTGATTTTGGGGGAATATGCAAGCTTGAACCTTGCAATGTTAGCTGAAATAAATTTTTGAACTTATGCATGTCTTTAAACACCTTATATAGAGCAGAGCATGATGCTTATAATCAAAAGAGGATAAGTATTGAATGAACTAAGAATGAACTGTACTGTCAATCCCAGGAGGCGCAGGCAGTGTGCTGTTTGCCTTTAAGTTAGGGATTGAACTGCGAAACAGAATACTGCAGGGAAGGTGGTATTAAACATTTATCATGGTGCATCAAAGATACCTGAAAACTTCAGGCAAAAGTCTGTGCATGTTTACCTGTTTACCTTTCCAGAGAGTGTCTGTATTTGTGTGTGACTTTCAGATGCTGAGAGGAACTCAAATTTGTGTAACTCCTGAACTGATTAAAAATATAAAACCAAGTTCTTCAGCTTCTTTGCAGCTACTTGGATAGGAAGTCCATGTAGAAAAATGAGGAAAAGAAAAATAACTATGTAATAGAATTGAACTTCCTGTTTAATTATCCATTTAATCCATGGCTCATAGAACTATGTTTTGTCTGTAAGCAGATTTATGAATGAGTATTATCTTCAGGCAGAACAACTTCTATCAACTCAAAAGCCTTTATTAGCAAAAGTTTATAGTGTTCAATGCTGTATGTTTCTTTGCTGATGGAGGGCTGAGCTAATGCTTAGGTCTCAAGGCAAGCTATGAAGTTTTGCAAATAAATTGCTAAGTGATCTTTATTCCACTAAATATTTCCACTTGAATTCTGAGCAGCTTTCTGATAATGAATTATTTTTATTCTTCTTTTCAGAGACTGAAAGATGTTGGTGGGGAAGCATTTTATCCATTGCTTGAAGATGAGTAAGTTTGTGTGTAAGCTTATACATATATGAGGGACTGAATTTTGAACCAGTAGTTTTATTTGAGTGGCACACGGCACAGCTAGACACAGCTGTCTTCCAAAAGCAGGCCTAACATGTACTTGTTTTGGCTCTTAGACTTAAGAGCTGATAAACACTGGTGGATTTAGGGCCCTGATACCAAACCGAGGATCCTGGCCTGTTTCTCTGTTCTGGAAATCAACTGTTTTGTTAGTTGATTTCCAGAACAGAGTATTCAAAAGTGTCCATTTAAGCTTACTTATGACTCAGAAATGCATCACAGGATACCAATTTTTTTTATGGTGATTTGTATTTCTTGCTGTTCACTGCTACTATCCTAACTCTTTTTCCAGACAGTCAACTTTACCTCATTCAAACAGTAGTAATGAGCTGTCTGCAGCTGCAAGTCTTCCTCTCATCATCCGGGAGAGGGACACAGAATACCAGCTAAATAGAATTGTCCTGTTTGACAGGCTGTTGAAGGTATGGAACCTTTCTGATGCTGGATAATTAGATTTGATCTGTTAATTTGAGCATTTTTAAAGGACCAAATAATTGAAAAAGGGAGCAGAGATCAAGAGACCACCATGGGAAAGCACATGAATACATTAATGAGAAGAAATGGGTATTTTAACATCAGAGTTCCTCCATCTAGGCCTTCCAGTTAGGAATGAAATTAACTTGTAAAACTGGCATTCTCTGTTTTGGCTGACAGCATTTGTCTTTTGGAGGAAACACCATCCCAGAACTGGGATTTGAATTGTTTCAATTACATAGTAACATTTTTTTTGCTATTAATTTCTTCTCTTTGAAGGCCTACCCATATAAGAAAAACCAAATTTGGAAAGAAGCCAGGGTTGACATCCCTCCTCTTCTGAGAGGCGTAACCTGGGCTGCCCTGTTGGGTGTTGAGGTAAGGGTAGTGGGAGGGCATTACTTACTGGGAGGGAATGGGATAGCAATGGGGTTTGACAGGGAAGATGGAATGGATTTGAAGATTTGTCAGGTACGATTACTGGAATTTCAAACAAAATGAGTCATGAAATTGTGTGAATGGAGACAATGTTCAGACTTGCTTTTTGTTTCTTAAGATTATTTGATTCCAGAGAATGTATGAAAATTTGGCTGCCTTTAATTTTGATTATGGGATAGAAAAATACTACAGAATCAAACTTGGATTGTTTAAATACAATTGGTTGTTAACAGTTGTTTTTTTTTTTTCTTTTTGTTTTGATTTTAAATATTTTTTTGCTTTAGTATTTGCTTTAATATTTTAAATTTCTTTTTGCTTTGATTTGAAATATTTTTGACAAATGCAGTTAGAAATCTTCTGCTCCAGTCAGCAATAGTTGGGTAAAACAGGATGAAACATACCAAATGTATTTTTCTCACCAACATATTTTCTCCAAAGACTAGAGAATAAATAAATGCAACACTTTTGGACAAAGGACTAGAAAGGAATGTCCCAGCAGTGACAGCTCCTCACAGAGATTGCTTGACTACCCTCTTCTTGCATCTACTCTGCTTGCAATTTGCTTGTAGTGCAGCAAAGAGGTTCTCTTAGATAACACATCCAGGTTATTTAGGATATTTAGCTTAGGAAGTGATCTGCTGAGTGCTATCTAATAAGACGAAAAAATAGCTGTAATGTAAATAACAATTATTGCTCAGGGTTGTGACCTGGGTCTTGGGAGTTGAGGCAGTTCTCATGCTTCATAAGCTTATCATCTGTACAATGCAGATAGTGTTTCCCTGCGCCATAGTAGTAAGATGGACTTGTCAGCATGCCTGTCTTGAGATTCATGCATGGGCAGGCTATGTAAGAGTAGTATATATTGGATGTGTATAGCTGGATTCGGTGCCTTCAGAGATATGTTGCTGAAAGCCACTTGCTTGTGGTTTAGATAAGCACTGATTTCAAACTGAAGAGCATTTTTTAACTTGAAAATGGAAAATTGTATCAAGTACACAATTTTCTGCATAAACAACTGAAAATTGTTGAAGATTGCACTGAGGAGGTCATAAAAAGGTTTATATGTCCTGATAACAGAATAAAGATGGCTTTGTTTGAAATTCAGATGTCAGAATTTTCTGTATTTTGGGAAAAATTTTCAGGGAAAAAAAAAATTGCTAACTAAAGCACCTAATGAAAACAGTCAACTTCTGTACATCAGTGTGTACACTGTCATATGCATTTATGTTAGTAATGACTTTCTAAATTTGGTTGTTCTTCCACATTTAGGGTGCCATACAAGCAAAATATGATGCCATTGATAAAGACACACCGATTCCTACAGACAGACAAGTAAGACTTGTGATGTTACCAAATATTGCCACTTGAAGAAATGCAGAGATCTTTTCCATGAGCTACAGACATTTGCCTGTTACAACAGATACGGCCAATAGTACTAAAAGGGTTCCCCCTGTCCTCTAAACCTACTCCTACTGGAGCATGAATCTTGCAAAACAGAGGAATGGATAGTTTAACTCAAATTATAATATGTGGAAAGCAAAATCTTCTTCTACTTCAGAATCACTGTTTCTGTAACAGTAACAGAGTGTAATAAGCAATATTACTGATGTACTGCTAAATCCTGTTTTTACTGAATGTTTGTTGTGCATGTTGGACCTTGTACCAGATAGTGCCGAGTACCTGGAGATCCTGTGAAGTGAGCTGTGCTTGAGCAATTTGGTTCTCCAGGAAGTCTTGCCAGACATAAAAAGACATCACAAGCAACAGCTGTTCCTTTTGGCTGGCTGAAGAAATATTTTACATCAAATTGGGTACAACTTTCTGAGAACTCCAATTTGATTATCCTTTAGAGCAAAGGGATCATAGCACCTGGAATGAGTCCAAAAGTTGGGTCATAAAAAACCCTATAGTAGTAGTCTGCATTCTGCCTTTTTCAAGGCATTTTAAAAATATGAATCTGGAAAAAGAAAAAAAAAAAAAATCCCTCTTTTTAATCTTGGACAGGGCTATTAGAGTCCCAAGTCCCCTTTCAGTGTTGATTTTGAGTGTGATAGAGAAAGCCGATTGTGTTTATGATGGTGGTCTGACTTATATTCTTTGGCTCACTTCCACCTCTAGTGTTGCAAGATTGCTGTAGTACTACCTCACTTATCCTGATTTCTCTTTATATTATATGCCTGGCTGTGGTGCAGATTGAAGTTGATATTCCTCGTTGCCATCAGTATGATGAGTTGCTGTCATCACCAGAGGGTCATGCGAAGTTTAGACGTGTATTGAAGGCCTGGGTTGTTTCCCATCCTGATTTGGTGTACTGGCAAGGTGAGTTTGAGTGGTTGGCTAGGTCAGATAATTAACTGGAAAGCTATGGCTGACTTAAAAATACCTCCACCTTTTTCCCTACACCCAATGTAAGCTCTTTTTTTGAGTACTTTCTTTTCTGTTTCTTTTGAAGGAGGAATCTATGGCTTATTACAAATTTAGATTCTAATAATTTATAGTTAATTCATAATGAAAAATCACCCCACTCTTTCTTATATATTTACTTCCCTAAACTTCAGTCACTTAAAAAAAAAAAAAAGCCTGTTGCTTATTGTTCAGCTCCAAGGTAAAACTGCTGAAGTTACCAAGCAAGTTCTTGGGATAGTAAATTGCATTTCTTGGTAGCCTTGGCAGAATAATCAATTCAGCATTATAGTTCAACATCTTGTTTCATGCATTGATTTCACAGTTGTTTTCAGCATTACGCGTAAAGCCTGAGGTTGCAGAATTATAATGCAAATTTATTTTGTGCATTGCTGTAAATGAGCTCTTTATGCTATTTTTTTGTGGCTTTTCTCTCTTCAGGTCTTGACTCTCTTTGTGCACCATTTCTGTACTTGAATTTTAACAATGAAGGTGAGTACCCTTTTCTGCTGGGGGTGAAGGGGAAGCATAATCTGTCATCTCTGTCATGTTGTAGATGGATACATGTGCACCCACTTATAGATGGAAACTTTCTGTAGCTACAAAGGAATTTTAAAGTTCTTGTTGGCACAAGTCAAAAGAAACGGGTTTTGAAACATATATGTGGGGTGCTACTCTTCAAGCAGGGGTTCAAATCCTGCATTTATTGAATACAATAATGAATACATAATGCATAATTGTTCAGTAGAATAATGAGTGTATAATAAAAAGCACAAATAACTTTGTTTATAGAAAAGCAAAAAAAGCTTCTCTAGTATGTCTTTTTCAGTGAAGCTGTAGTTCAGCCTTGTTTAATGTGAGTGTGTAATTTCTAACCTTTTAACCTCTCCAGACTACCTTTATTCAGAAAAGCTGATGATTGTTTTAAATGCCTAAAAGCTTATCCGACCAGCTTTGGGTATGTTGCCTTTATCAGCTTAGAATGTGATTTGTTCAGAATAGGTGTAGTCCAGTCTTCTGTTCTCTTGCACCTGGCTTTCTTTATGTAAGGCCTGTGTGTGTGGGAAAACTAGTTTCTTAGGACAATGATTCCCATTATGCCTACTGTGCATACAATCATTTTTGTGTATAGATGGATTTAAGAATAATAATAAGCATAAGCTTATTACCTGCTTAATAATGAACTTTTAGGTATACTTACTTGTGTTTCTCTGTAGGTGAATTTATTTTTCTGTTTCTTTCAGCTCTAGCATATGCCTGCATGTCTGCTTTTATCCCCAAATATTTGTATAACTTCTTTTTGAAGGATAATTCTCATGTTATTCAAGGTAAGTCTGTCCCTTAAGTTTTTTTGGTTTTGTTTTTTTTTCAGAAAAGTGGAATTATTTCTGGATTATAAATGCACTTTTTCAAGTTGCAAAATTGCAAAATTGAAACACAATTAGACTCTCACTGTAGAAATACCCACGTATTTATTTCAAAAGGTTTATTTTAGGTAAGTAAGAACAACAGCTGTGCAAGAAAAATAGGATCAAACTAAACGGGTAATTCAGACAGGAGAAAAAAAACCAAATGCTCTGTATAAGCTTTTTGAAAGCCATTAATAGTTTAAAAAAAATAGGTGGTAATGAATGTTTTTAATTGCAAGCAGTTATGAGTATTTATTGAATACTGGCTTTCAGCATGGCTTCCTGTCCTTCTGTTTCTTTTAAAGAAATTTTTCTGTATAGAACTTGTGAAAGTCCTCAACTTAGGAACAGTGTCTGTAATTTTTTTTCTGAAAAAAAAAATTAAGACCTGGTCAACAACATATAATTAGACATAAAAGCAGTTATGTACTGGATAATAGGGAGGGAGCTAACATAAGGAATTGTTAGGAGAGACAATTAGTAAGAAGTGTTATGAACTGAATATGTAAAATAAATAGTTTGGAAAAACTATTCAATAGAACTCATTTGCATCCTTTTGTCTGTAAAGAAAGAGCGCTTGGTAAATAAAAGGGGCAATAGAGGTCTAAAGATGAACAGAGTAAATATATCATATGCTCCTGTGGTGACAATCTCTTTAGACTTCAAGACTAATATCTTGATAAAGACTTTTCTCAAAGGAGTATATTCTTCCATAAAATAATACTTTTGCTGTCTAGAGTTCCCTGATGTTATCCCTAAGGGGCTTTATAAAAAGTCAGAAATACAGGTCAGTAGGATTCTGTGAACCAAAGTGGCAACTCAGGCATTCCTGAGTTCCTGTGCAATGTCTGGCATCATCAGGGACTCAGGGAGACCTTTTAGGAGTCATTCAGTATTCTGATTTAATCCTTTCTTGGGTTGTATGTCAAATGCCAATGCGTAAATGGCAGTTTTAAGTGAAAATCCTGTGTAATTTCCCTGCTTTATTGGGTTTGAAGAAAGTGTTAAGAATGTGTCATTTAACTGCCTACTGCAATTTTAGCTTCTGAGCTTCTTTGTGTCTTCCATGTAGAGGTGTACAGGAAGAGTCTTTTGAACTGCAGAGTTTAACACATACCTCATTTCTGAACTTGTCCTACATTATGAAGACGGGTGTTTTTTCTAAGCTTGTCAGATGTATTTCCTCACATGAAATAGAAAATGAGCAGTTAAAGAGGTTTGGGTATGGAATGCCAAATTACATAAAACAGAAAAATCATACAATGAAATTCCAGCCAGCAACAATTGGCTGGACCTGAGTGGTACATTTTTGTGAAGATTTGTGTGTTTTTAAAAACCTAATTAACCATGTAATTGCATGCACTAATTATATTTCATAAGACTGGCTAGTCAAATAAAGATGGTTTTTATCAACCTTTATTATATCTGTAGAGAACCATCATGGGCACGAATCTTTATTTTTAAAATAAATGTGCTTCAGAGAAGCTAATTGTGAAATCATTTTCATCAATATACAGCTGAATGTGTAGGGTTGTGTAGAATTACTGGTTTGCTGTACCTGACTTGTGATTACTGGCTGTTTCATGAAATAAAACTGATGTGAAATGCACTTAAAAAAAATAACTAATAATGCAGTTTGGTATGCATTTAAGGCATGGATTCAGTTATGTCCCAAACTTGTATGCATGTGAATAACTTTGGCTTGAAACTGAGAAAACGTGATCTGTGAGTACCTCCAAAGCAGTCTCACCTTGGTGACACAAAATTTGGTATTGGGTCTGTTTACCCACTTACCTCCTCATCTGAGTGCTGCCAAGCCATCAGTGGCGTAAGAGAGGTGCAGTATCAGAGGGGAGAGGCTGGCACTCATAAGATGCCAGATACCTCTTAAGAGGTTTAGTGCAGGGGCTTTGTCATTGCAGCTGAAGCAAAAGTTACAAAATTTCTGAAGGAGGCTCAAGAGGTCTTAATTTCTAATTGTAACTTACATTGGAGAATTACGCATCCTTTCAAGGATGATTTCCAGTAGGACTGTGGTTTATTTCCCTCATGCTGTTACAATGAGAGCATTGTTGATCAGTCCTCCTGAGGCAGAATCAGCTTTTAAAATTTCTGGTCCGTACAGAATTATTTTACAGAGTGATTGATCTTAACTTGCCAGCTTAACCTGAAAGGAGTTAACTTGAATACAGATAATGAAGATTTGAGTGAGATAGAAGCCTGTAAACAAGTAGATGTTTAGGCCCATTTGTTTTTAAAGATGTCTAAGCATGGAATTATCTCAGCAGAACCACTTCTGTGCTTCTTAGCAGTGGAATTGGAATTTGAATTTGTCCTTTCAGGGATGAAGTCAAACTGAGAAATAGGGAGTTATTTGCTGTCCCCAAGAGAGACGGGAGTAGGCATCTAGTCCTTAACAGTAGACTAAAAAAACAGTGGCAACTCTGGATGGTTAATTTGTGGAATTGTGTGGACTTGGTCTTTGGGGCCTTATATTCGGGGGATGCACTGAGATGTCAGCATATTCTGACGTGGGAGGAGGGTTCGCATTCTTTGTCTCTCTTCTCCCCCTCAACTAGCTGTCTGGGCCCTAATTACTCTCTTCTTGGGAGCATAGAGGAAAAGGAATTGCCATCTGTTACAAAACTACAATGTTATTGCCTTTTCATCTTCCTTATAACAAAGCATATGACAGTGTGGATGAAACTGAAAGAAGGGCAGAACAGAGAGAAAGAAACCTGTCAGTGTCTGTGTTCTGCTGTCTGCTTCTCTTCCAATTAAAAGCATTATTTAGATAATTAAATTGTGCCCATTGGCCTAGTGTGCCATGCTGAGAATGTAAGACATTTTATCTTTTACAATAAATATATCTTCTTATCTATTAAAAAAAAAAATTGAAGTGTTACTACTGGTCATGGAAATGGTAACCTTAAAGCCCCACTTTAACTTCTGGGTTACAAAATTTAACTCTGTAGAAAAGAAACCACATGGGATATAATTTAAAGAGTATAAACTTTGTCTATCATTAAAACAATTTGGGGCTAAAAAATCCTTGGAACAGTCCTATTCTGATTTGCTTCCATGAATATCTTGTGGCTCGTAGCCGTATTGGAAATTCTTTAACTTTGCATGTCGAGCAACCATAACAACCTGAGTATGAACCAAGTAAACCGTTCTTGAAAATCCAGATTTTGAAGTACTAAGGAAGAGAAATTGAACATTCCTTCCTCTGTATTGAATATAATGCTGACAAAGAGGGCAGCAGTAGTATTCACTTGTTGGTTAATTGTAGGTTGAAAAAAAATTATTAAAAAAAAATAGTGTTATTCCTTTTCTACAGCTCAGTTGTGAGCTAACAGCATGTGGTGGCTTGTGTTTTTGTCAATGATCTTGAATTTGCTTGTTGTTTCAGAATACCTGACAGTGTTTTCCCAGATGATTGCATTCCATGATCCAGAGCTGAGTAACCACCTTAATGAAATTGGTTTTATTCCAGATGTAAGTGCTAAGCATTTTTATAAGTATTGTTCAAAGGAAGTAAAAAATGGAAAATGAGGGCAACTTGGAGAAGATGTCTTTCTAGATTATTTCAGTAGCAGTTTGACATAAGTGAAACTTTTTTATTAATGGACTTTTTTGAGTATGCTGATAAAATGATAAAGTTTTGATTGTTGTTTTACATACCTCAGTCCTTCCTGTTCCGTTAGCATGGTAAATAAAAAAAAGTACTAATTGTCAGTTATAACTTGAAGATTCATCTTAAAACATATAATTTTATGAAATGTAATTTTATTTATAAAGCATGGATTAATATATAGAAATTAATATGTCCATAAATAACTAAAAGCTAAATTTCTCCAAATGAGTTAAATGCCATTGGTTAACACAAAAGACACACAAATCTGCAAATAATATAGAAAAATGTGTGTGAATGATGGTTAATCTGTAGATATGTCATACTTTGGAAGATGCATAGCAGTCATTTGTTAGAATCTATCAGAAGCATTGGATGAGTGCGTAACTTGTATTCAGGTTTTATGCTTTTCATTGGAAGAAGAATTGGTAGAAGAAAATGAAAACTGAGAACTCAGTCAAAATGTAACAGAGGGAGGGGTATGTTGGAAAAGGCAAAAGAAGGCTTTCTTTAAAAGGCTCGCTTTTTAGCTATCACTGCAAATAGTGAAGCTTTCCTCTTTTGTTTAGAGAGGTATATATAGTCCAGAAAGCCAAGATAACGCTATAAAAATGTTTGTCTAGCTACTATAGCATCACTGAAGTTTGATTGATGTTTCTGAAAAATAGATTTAGGCAAGGCTATGGAGAGAACATTATTAATTGATATTGTCTATGTCATGTTACGTTTGACATTTAGAAATTTGGTAATAACAAGAAGAGATGATGACTGAGAGGTCAAAATGGAAGATGGAAATTGAAGTCAAGTGATACTGATGTAGAAATATAAATTTTATTAAGAAATTTATATGCATTTCTTCTGTAAGCAGTATAAAGCTTTATGCTTATTAGGAAATAATTTAAGTTGAAACAGCAAAGCTAAGCCTCTGAAAGTCATTTGTTGTACATATTCACTAGTTCTGGGGTGAATTTGTGTATGTCTTTGGGACTAACAGATACTCATTATCACTGTTTAGAAAGATTGTAATGGAAAAGCAGATACATGTTTTGATTTGTAGAGTTGGTTTTAATGTAATAATGTTGTTTATGAGTGATACAAATTTAAAAGATACTGTGGCATTAAAATGAGCAGAAGAAAAAGCCAGAGTATTGCATTATAAAGAGATGTTTGAGAAGACCACACGTGTTGCTGATAGCCCACATCTGAACAGGATAGGTGGGAAGAAGGGAGAACATTGATCTCTAGAAAGTCTAATTATTTTGGGGGTTGAAGAGCATAGGTAGCAGCAAGGTTTAAGTTCCTGATGGAGAATCAGGTTTGCAGCATCACTATGTAAATGCACTTGATATTTATTTGGAAAAGGCTGTGGATGACCAGAGCAATTCCTCTATGTATTTTGTCCAGGACAGTTCCAACTGAAGAAGCAGGGATGTAATTTTCCCTGACCATCTTACAGGTTCCTGTTTTTGCTATTAACCTACATGAGAGCTCTGTGGCAACCTCTCTTGGGTGTTAACTTGATCTTTCAGCAGCTCCTAGCATTTTCTTGTACATTTAAAATTCTCCACTGAAAACCTCTAAGGTGCAAGTCAAATGGAATTGTTTAAAATCACATTTTTTTTTTATATTTTAGGGTTTGTGTTGTGCTAGCCAATGGACAATGCATAGTGAAATTTGGGAGTCAAATATCTCTTAAGTGTTGAAGTCTAGAGATGATTAGGTAATGTACTAAGTAATTAGAAAATGGAGGTTTATTAAAAAAAAACAACTTTCATTAGATAAATTAACACTAAATTAATTTAGTGTTAATTCTAAAATTAACACTAGCCTCTGAAGAGAGGTTGTCCTTTCTAAATCATCTTTTTTTGTTTTTAACAAGTAAAAGTTGTTCTGCCTTTTAGATTAGTGAGAAGTGATTTTTTGTACCTGTAACAAGATAGCACAGGATCCATCAAGGTGAAGGATATGCACTGTAGTAATGAGACCTGAACTAGAGTTCCGTGCTTGAGTACTAATCCTATCAGAGTAAACCCTGATTAGTGTTTCATCATTGAAGGGCAGGCTCTGCTGCAGGAAAGATTGTGTTTCCTGGCACCCTTCTCATTTGCTTCAGGTCACGTAGCTCTCAGAATATTGAATATTGCTGAAGCTTGAATAGCTGATGCAGGGCTTGGATTAAGTACATTGCTGTGGTTATGTGATTTCCATGTAAATAGAGGGATATATATGGTGAATCTTACAGTTCTTTGCTCACTTTCCTGAATTTTATAATTTCTCCTCTTTCTCCCCCCATATAATGCTTTAGAACTCATTCTGTGTTTTACTGAATAATGCTAACATCAACAGCAGGCGATTTTGAACTGAAGGAAAACAAGGAAGTATGCTACATTACTAAAAGGGTAACTATAGCTATAAATTAATCTGAAGAGCTTTCAGCTGCAAATTATGGAAGCTAGACACAGCTGACAGATGGCCATGAATAGAGATGACAAAGTATGGGTGCAGTTACTAATATCATTGTGCTGGAACTGCTGTCATAGGTAGATACCTTAGCTTGGTTTTGGCGATATGCAGGAGGTGTTAGTAATAGGTCTGCATCCGAGAATTAAAAATCCCACAATTGAAGTACTTTATCTCTGTTTGTTCTATTACCCTTTTACCTGCTGGTGAATCCTGGGGAGAGATTTCTTGCTGGTGTATTTATTTTGTGAGGAAAGTGATTATTCTTCATATTTTGTTTGTGTCGCTGCATATAGGTGGGTAGATTCTCTTTGCATCCCCAATCATGAAAACATTTTTGCACCTTCCTGTAGCATTTAAAGTTCTGACTAATTGTCTAGGCACCATATAGGCGTGAGGCTAAGTATGTGTGTATGTATTTTGAAGACAGAACATAAAGGTGCCAGATGGGGGGTTTATAGAATAGACTACTGCAGTTGGAAGGGATCTGCGATGATAATATGGTGCAACTGCCTGACCAGTTCAGGGTCTTGCTGTTCACTGCTGTTCAATGCCCCATGTTAAGGGCATTGTCCAAATGCCTCTTAAATACTGACAGGCTTGGGGCATCAACTACCTTCCAAGGAAGCTGGTTCCAGTGTCTGACCACCTTCTCAGTAAAGGATTGCTTCTTAATGTTCAGTCTAAATGTCTTCTGGTGCAGCTTTGAACCCTTCCTGTATGTCCTGTCACTGGATAAAAGGGAGAAGAGATCAACACCTTCATCTCCACTTCCCCACTTCAGGAAGCTGTAGAGGGCAAAAATGTTTTTTTCTTCACAAATGAAAATTGAAACAAAAAGCAGTAGCTGGGAGGCAGCCTTGTTAGGACAATTCCAGCTTATTGTTGGACAACATTGTTTCACACATACATCAATCAGGCAAAACAGAACACCAACAAACAAAAAACCCCAAACAAAATAAAACCAAAACCCCAAACCAACCCCAAACAAATAAACTGCAGCAACTTCATAGACAGAAAATTTTGTTCCTCCTATAGCAAATGAGGTACTCACTGCTGGAGATAGAATGTTTGCCCAGTTGCCATTGATTGTGGTAATTCCTATATTCCTGTGACTTCAGCCTTGAGAAAGAAAGACTCCAAGCCTTCCAGTATCTGAAGGGGGCCTATAGGGATGCTGGGGAGGGACTCTTCATTAGGGACTGTAGTGACAGGACGAGAGGTAACGGGTTAAAACTTAAACAGGGGAAGTTTAGATTGCATATAAGAAGGAAATTCTTTCCTGTTAGGGTGGTGAGGCACTGGAATGGGTTGCCCAGGGAGGCTGTGAATGCTCCATCCCTGTCAGTGTTCAAGGCCAGGTTGGACGAGGCCTTGGGTGATACGGTTTAGCGTAAGGTGTCCCTGCCCATGGCAGGGGGGTTGGAACTTGATGATCTTAAGGTCCTTTCCAATCCTAACGATTCTATGATTCTGTGAAAAAGTCTTGAGCACTGAAAACAGTGTGAAATACTTGCCTTAGCATGTATTAGGGTTTTTTTTATCCATCTATAAATATTTTTAAGATGGTGAAGACTCAACAGTTTACCAGTTTAACATAACACACTGCACTGAATGACAGATTGTGAGAAGATTATTCTATGAAAGACTGCAAGAATAATGATTACTCCTATTGTGTTTGTTATCTTTAAAACTGTTGGTATTTAACCTTGATCTCAGCTCTATAATTCTCTGAGGTGTAGAAGTGAACTTTCTTAGAGATTTCTGAATTTTCTTAGTTTTTTTGGGAAACTCAAGTGTTATATACATGCATAACAAACAAGAACTTGTGAAAAATGTTGGCGTTTTTGATGTTTTGAAAACTCAAACGTTCAGTTTTAAATAATTAATTTTCATTATCCTGCAGACAGGTACATAGCTTCACTGTAAGTGTCTTATAATGTTCATAAGGTACACTTGAATCATACGGGACAGCCACTTAATTCTTACAGACTTTTCAGAGTACAAGAAGCTTATTTGTGCCTTTTAATACTCTCTACCATCCCCAACAACAAACATTAACACTCATTTTCACCTTGCTATTTCTTCTGAAATATCTTTAGAATCAAAATCCCCTGAGCCTAGTTTTCTTTAAAACTACTGTCTTTGCAACTGGAATCTCAATCTGCTGTAGACACAAGTGTATAAAGCTCTCATCTTCTGGAGGAATGGTCAAATAATGAAAAAAAAAACCAGACAGTAATAGCAGGGAATTAAGGAAATGCTCATAGAAAAACTTTCATCAAGATTTGAACCAGTATCTCTAAGATCTTTTAATGTCTAATGAGAGATGCACTCTTTTCAAAATATGCCCATCTAACTATGGACAAGTAAAACATTTTCACCCTGTTGAAGAGCAGTGAACTGCATCTCCAAGCTCAGGTACTGATCAGAATTTGTTAAAGCAGAGCACTCTTGGAAAGGAAGCTTTAGATAGGAATAATGAGGTAGGGAAAGATGGAGAAGGAAAGAAAGCCTAAGGACAAATGTAACTAAAAAAAACCCTGTGGATTTATTCAGATTGTTTGATTGGGAACTTCTGTTAGGGGACTGCTTATTTCTTCATGTATAAGAAATATCAAAAAAAGGAGCTTGAATTTCGCTAGCAAATCAAAATGATAAGTACGGCGCTGCTGATCTCAAGTTCACTCTAAAAAAATATTGAGTATTAGTTTTACAGGCTCTCATTTTAATGTGACTTATTCTCAGGCTGTTCCAGGAGTTAAAACGCTGCCTTGATTAAACATTAGGGATGTTTTCTAGCTACAAAGAGTTAAGTTTCAGTAAAACCCACAACCCCATTATGTTTCAGGGTTCAGTAGTGAGAGCTTGAAAACCTCTTTAGCAGCTGGTTAGTACGGAAGTACGGCCCGATGCTGTTCCAGCCGGTGATTGCTAGAGGGCAGCATTTACTAATAATATGTTAAAAGTACAGTCATTTCACTAAGAGTTTGGTAGTTTACTCATTTAAGGACTTCAAGTCAGTGCAATTCTTTTTGTCTGTGTTTTTCAATTTGACTTGCATGGTGGAATAATACGACCAGTGTTGTGGCTTTTCTTTGCTTGCTTATTAATAATAATCATAACCTTTCCAGGTTTACCAAGACCTCCTTGTCTTAGAACATCAGGAAAATTAGATGGAAAAATCCCTTCAATAAAAAACTTGCCTGATACTTTATACTTAAATACTTTGACCTATATTTTCATGTCATCATTGTTGAGTTTGGTAATGATGGTTTAGAGCAAAGTGATGCTTTGCCTTGCGGTTACATCTTAATAATCTGCCTAATGTGAAAAATTTTGTGTATTTTCTTGTATATTTCTATGTAGATGCATACAAAATTAGAGGTGTTTGTGAAATTAGGAGAACGTGTGGATCTGGGTTAAACATATTAATCAAATGTATGAAAAGGAGGAAGTAATTGCTTTTAAATACCAGGGAAGTAATATAGTTCAAAATTACTTCCGCATAATATGTACCTCCAAGCAAAGAGGAGCCTCAGGCTTTTAGGAGTGCTTGATTTTCTAGTGCACTGAAAGCAAGCAGGTAAACAGGTATTGGCTGACCACTGTAGAAGGTATTTCAGGGAACAGGGTATGTTGTTATTGAGCAGAGAGCCATCTATTGAAGGCATACAAAGATATACTCAGTGAAATAGTATGAATGCATTAGAAGATGAAAATAGTAATATAAATATCACAATTTTTAGGGGTTTTAAGGGGGTTTGAACCCTTAAAACCAATTGGCTGATTGGAGGCCAAGCTTTGTTAATGACTCCTGAATACTGAAAGTGGTGAACAGTCTGTTTTATGGACAGTATGGTTCAGATATTATCAGATGCTCACATGAAGACACAGAAGTAAAACTTAGAGCTGTGCTAAAGAGCTTTTCAGCAAATGTGTGCATTGTTTAGCCAGTGCCATAATCCAGTTAAGGGCTTATGGAATAAGTAGTAATTTATTAACATAATATCAATTAGGCTTTCTAGTTCTCATTTGCTTGCTTCCAGGGAAAGCTTAATAGGAGACTAATTTGCACTTTATGAGCTAAAAAGTAATATATTAAGCTTTATGTCTAACTGTAAATCTTCAGAAGTAGAAAACAGAGCACGTGAGCTGTGCAACTGAGTAAAATTTAACAATGATCATCTTGCTCTTGTATCCCTAATTTGTGGTGACTTTCTGTGCGGTTCAGTGTTTCAGGAAAGTAGATTCTGTTGCCTTCAATGTGCTAAATAATTAATTGAAAATTAAGAAACTCTTAAGGTAACAAATACTTAGCTTTTCTAATGCATACTGAAATTTTCTCTATATGGTATTACGAGAATGAAAGTTGACAGAAACTAAAGGTTTTCTGTGGCCAATGCAGCAGCAGAAGTTCTAATAGTTGTATAAGTGCTGAAGCAGCCTCAAATCAGATGACACCTGCCTTTAAAGGTCACAGTAGAACAACATGAATACTTTAGGTTTTAGTAACTGGCACTATATGGTTCTGAGAATGAAACTGTTCTTACTGCTGTTCAATGCCAAGTATACGTTTTAATAAATAGCAACATAGGAGAAAAAGATAGATATGATTAATTTTTCTGTTGGAAATTGTGATTTGCACTTTTAGTTATTTATATAGAATCGAGTTTTTTTTTCCATACTCAAAAAGATATATTGAATCAACTTGGTTTATGCTTGTTATCACTTAACAGTATATATATATATATATATAAGGTGAGAACAGTGACAGTTTAATAGATCAGGTTTCTGAGTTCTTTGAGACTTTGGGGATTATTTTTTGCAAACATAAGCCTAGTGAGAGTGATGGTTGTTTTTGTTACTGTTTTCAGTGCAGTATCACAAACTAGTAACTTGAAAGAAATGCAAATGGGAACTTGGGGGAGGAAAGATCATCTCTGAGGGGCTAAAAGTTGTGTGATAGTTGTTCTGCCACTCCTGTTATTTCCTATTTTAGATACATTTATGCCAAGTTAGGCAATTTTTAATGTAGTAGATAATTGTCACAGATAACTTCAACTCTTAAAACATTTTTTTGTTCTCTTTCCTCATCACCACCTTCTTCAGCTTTATGCTATTCCTTGGTTCCTTACAATGTTTACACGTGAGTATGCACCCTTTTTCTTTGATTAAAAGTTCTTAAATTTCTTCAGCATAATTTTTCTCACATTTTCAGCTAACATCCTCCTAATTGCTGGGGTGTGTCTATCATTTAGTAGGTCACTTTTAATTTGCAAGGATTTGTGTTGTGGTGTAGTTTGAGTCTCAACAGTGCCTCACATACTTTGTGCCCTGATTTTACAATAATTATTTTCTTTGCTTTTTTCTTTTTTTTGAAGAAGAAGAATTTTATTAAGTTTGACCTGGGTTATTTTACACATGCAGGATTTAGGGAGTGTGCAAAGGAAGCTGTTATCTACTGGAAAAAAAAGATATAGTTAAAAAAAAAACAAAAAAACACACAACAAACCTCACCAGCTTCCCCTGCCCTTACCCAAATAATGTAAGAAAGAGAGTAACTTTGTTTTTAAAGATCAATGAAACAAGGGGTTTTTTCATTGTCATTTTACTAGCACTAGTTTACTGTGATATTTGCACATGTATGTTAGGAACTAAAAGAGCTTTCTAATTTGGTGAGCTTTTAATGAAAGAGGACAAAGTTAATACAGCAGGTCTAGAAAGCAATTAAAAACCTTTCCTCAAAGATCTCTGTGATTTTATTTTTTTTTTTTAATGTCATGTCAACATTGACAGACTTTGAATTAAAAAAAAAAATTGGCAGCTCTGAAAAGAGCTGATGGATTATTTCTGTGATGAAATATCAAAGAATTTAATGTGAGATTCTTGACGGCAGTTTCTAAAGATCCTGACTGTAAAGCACTGGTTCTTGCAGTTGTCCATTCTTTAATAAGAGCTTTCATAAGAATCACTACCTTTGGAAAACCAAGGAGATGGTTTCCTTAGCAATGAATTGCCATAGAATGTTAGGACTATTTTGCTGGAAGATGACTTATTTTAGGAGAGCCAGCTTCAGCTTTGTATGTAAGATGTTGCTACATTTTACAGGCCTTTCTCCTTGTCTTTCCTTTATTCTGCAAATTTTTGCTGTGCTTTGCTCATTTTCTTGTCGAATTTTAAGTGGTTGAGCTTATTGGTTAACTCATTAATGAATTCATACTGTTGGAAAAACTGATATGCATGTCCTAATGCATAATTGTACTGTGCCAAAAGAGAAATAAATTGGCTTTGTGTGTGTTTGAAATATGAAAACCTGCACATTTCTAAATATTTAATAATGAAGATACTGATGATTTTCAGAATAATCAAACTGCATATGAAGATAAACCTGTTTCTGAACAGTTTGAGTCCTTTTTGCTGCCAAATAAAAAACCCTAAAATGGGAGAGGAAAAATTATATCGACTGTGTGTGTATATGGTTTTATTATCTTATATGCCTATAGCTTCTTTTTTTTTCTTTTTTTATTGTGCTTGTTCATCATGCAGATGTCTTTCCTTTGCACAAAATTTTTCACTTGTGGGATACGTTACTGCTTGGAAATTCCTCTTTCCCATTCTGTATTGGAGTTGCAATACTTCAGCAGCTGAGGGATCGTCTTCTGGCTAATGGATTCAATGAATGCATTCTTCTTTTTTCAGACTTGCCAGGTACAGAAAAAACACTACTTCTCTCTTCCTCTGTCCTCCCCAGTGTGTTGCTGAAGAAAGTATGTGCTTGTATGTGAATATATACTACAAATCATGTATGTATGTGGAAATCATGGTAGATTTAGGCCACTCACTGTCAGAATATGTAGGTCTTAACTACAGCTTGATGAAATTGGAAGTCTTTTTGCTATATCAGTAAGAATTGGGTGAGCTTGTTATTATTTCCAGGGGTAGGTTGGTATACTGACATGTGAAATCTAGAACAATATTGAATAATTCCTAAGCAACTGTTTGTAGATACGCTATATATAGAAACAATCCAGTTGATAGGGATTTCTTAGTGGAAAAAGAAATAAAAATCAGTGTTGTTGTGAACTGAGCAGTGCTTTTCCAGTTTGATGCCAGTACTAGCCTGTTTTACTTTAAAAAATGATTAAACTTTTGCTGTGGATACAATTAATGTAAAAGTATTAGAGAAAGCAGTATGGAAGCCGTTGGAATTACTCTGTGTTAAAACAGTTTCCATTTGAAATATGAAGCTTTCAGAAGAAACCTAAAAGAAACCCCAAACCTCAATGAGAGAATGAAGTTTGGAAGAGCATTTAAGTTTGAAAGGTCTTAAGTGTGGCAGTCTCCACAACTGCAGAGTTTACAGAGGTTAGCAGTAGTCTAGGATATGGCAGCAAGCAGGCTGAAGCTAAGTGCATAGTTGCGTAAATCAGTTTGTCAAGAGTTCAGTGAGTTGTCAGTGATGAAGCTCTGCAATTTCTCTAAATATTATTGTCGCAAATTCTATCTCTCACTGTATACCCTTGAACACATGTCCAGATTTCAAAATTTTGCTTTTCTGCTGCCTTTCAGTTCAGTGTGTAACAATGCAATTGCTGCTGTATTTTTCAATATATAAGAAATTGATTAGGCCATTCCTTATGGTGTGGGATTTTTCAGTTTCAGTCTATATGCTTAGTTGTTTCAAATGCTCTTATTAAATTTAACTGGATATTTTCAGATGGTCCAAAAGGTGAGAGCTAAACTGTAAGATTGTCTCTCTCCTCCTTTCCTACCCCCCATCTATTAGCTGCATGTCTTAGTTAAATATAGATTCATTAATATTTAACTTAGTTTCTTGCCTAAGGTAGTTTCTCCCTATTTTTCTTTTTTCCTTGAGTGGTTCTAAATCATATATTCCAATTTATCTTGAACCTGCTGATTTACTGACAATTGAAGTACTTTATGCTGAGGTCATGTGTAAGACTATATTGGTTCTCATAATATATGACTGTTTATAAAATAATTAAATTGCTAAAATCTGTAGGGTTATAATGTACATGCTTTCTGTTGATTATGACAGCTTTGCTGATACTCTGGTAGGAAATGTTTTGGTAGAATGGTGTTTCTGAAAAGAAATTTCTGAAAAGATTTGTTTATTGTAATGTTGGTGATGTCTGCAGTATTTTTGGATGTCAACAGTAGGACAGTTGAATATTATGAGATTAATCCAAAGCATATCATAAACCAACTAGTAAGGGAAAAAAGAATCAGGATGGAATACAATCCTAGTATGACTTAAAAGATAAATGTTATTCAACTGGCTGAGATTTCTGGAATCAGTAACTTCTTTTAACATACAATCATGATAGCTGTCTGACCTGAGTCTTATTTCTGGTTAAGGAGTATTGACTTTTTGTCACGTATGTCTTCCAAATGGAACTTCTGTTATTTTGGTTAAAATAAATTGTGTGCCATGTCTGAGAATTTTTCTGAAAGCAATATATGAACAACCTTCACCTGAAACTGGGTCACCCTGAGGAAGAGATTATGTTCTTCAAAACATCTGTGATAATTTCACTCTAAAATCAATTGTTGCTCAACAATCTGAAACTCCTGTGGTTTTTAAGCTTTCTGTGCACTAGAACAGCTTATCTCAGGCTGCCAGTGAAAGTGACTTGCTTTCCAGACTGATAAGGCTATTCTACTGCAGTCATGCAACTTTGTGGAACACTTCAAGATTTCTTGGGTTTACTGTAGTTATTTCTAAAAAAGTATATTTAAAAAGTAAAAGAAATAAACCCACCAAACAAACAAACAAAAACACACCAAAACAAAACAAACCCCAGAAGCCTGTCTTATTTCCATTTCACTGAAAACACATGCAACACAGTTTCAATTACTGTTTAAAAAAGTTAATGATGTGAAGAAAAAGGACACAGTGCCATTATTGATTACTTAAATAGAATTAGATTGTTTAGGAAATTGCCACACTAAGGTGGTTGTTTTATTCTCTTTCATTTGTTCTTTCATAGGAATTTTTTCTCTTGTGTCTGAGGAGCTTTGTTATGTATAAATTTGATTTAAACATATCAATACCAGATATTTAGGAGTTACTATTTGAGACAAACAAAACCAACCCTGGAGTTGTTGCTAATTCTTTATGTGTAGTTATGTGATTTGGTAAACTTAATCTTATTCAGGTGATGCAAGAGAGCAGTTGCAGCATGCATTACCTTTGGTTTTCTGTTATCTGATACATATCAGGAGAATGTGGCAGGAAAACGAGGATGATAAAACTGCACTACTATGATGTGGTTCCTGAAGTACCAGCAACAGAGTCAGGACTCTGCTTTCAGACAAATACTGACTTGTACTAAGCCACTTTGGATAGTTTTCATCTTGCGTATTAGCGAATCTACAACCCAGAAGACTCTTTCATGCATTGAGGGCCAGCTATATAGGTAGCATTACTTTAAAACTTGCAGGTTCTCTTATAGCTTAGTCTTTAGCATCTTGCTCAAACTTTGTGGATAACGTACATTATGCCACTCAAAAATTATGATTACTGATTACTGTAGCTGGATTTGATTACTAAGTTCCTTAGCCTCTGTACAAGTAGTACAGAGTCACCAGCACCTTTTGTTAGGAAACAAACCCAGGAAGGATGCATCTGGATGTGTGTAGCTCTTTGCAAACAGTTGAAGGATCCCATAGACCACCTCACTCTCGCCTGGAATATGATGCCACGTAGGGCCTGGTTGATAGATCTTCCTCTAGAGATCTATGCCAATACCATCACTGACATACAGAGATTATTTATGGACTACAGAAGGCATAGGGCAACTATCAAAAAGATGGGGATGGATGCTATTAGAGAACAGGGAAACACTAACCCTAGAAGTGAGATAAAACAGTTTCAAATAAGCCTTTTAGGTTAGTTCACATAATAAGCTGATCTTTTGTAAATTTAGAACACAAGGGAGGTTTGCTCTTTTGACACTGCTCGCCTTAGAAAGGTGTAGTTTTGCTGACTCTAGGCTAGTCAGTGCTTACAAAGAAAGAGCCTTGGCCTTGGATGAGAAGTGCAGAAAGTCTAGCTGTGGAAAAGCAATCCAGTGCAATGGGGAGCTACAGTAAAATGCTTGAAGTGGAAAACATAGGATTCTACTTTGTAGGACACAGGCATGTAACTTTAAGATGTGACATGTAGTCAAAGAGCTGGGTATTGCCAAACCACAAAAATAAATGATTCTCCAAGGAACAGAGTTCCTCTAATGTGGGAGAAATAATTTTATCTGTTGCCGCTATAGTGACATGCCAAAATGTTGAGTCCCATGATGATGGAAACCAAATAAATAATTAGAAGGATTACATCCACCTCAGAAATGGACTAAAGATTAAAAACTAGTATAATTCTACACTAAGATTGTATGGTTCAGTTTTGAATGATACGTTTGTGCTGACAGCAGCAGAATTGGGCACACATCAGAGGACTCTATTTTAGATACATGTCTGACCCTAGGCTGCTACCATTTTTCTTTCTGTTGTTTTTCTTCCTGAAAATCCTTTGTTTGCCCACGTCTGTAATTCATACGCTTTTATTGTGCCAGGATTTCTGGTGGTTCAGCATATAGTTAATTACGATTTGGTAGGAGGAAGAAATGGCAGTTGGCCACCTTAGCCCATGCTGTTTGTGGGTGTTTGGTGCATGTTCCCATTGTTTCATTCACATCTTGAGTGGAAGTGTAAACTCTGAGGTCAAAACATTAACTTTGAAGAGATTGAAAGAGATACAGTGGGGTCTTCCATGTGCCAGTGAGCAATAGAAAAGTAAAGGTAATAGAGTGATTTGATTAGGGTTCAACTTTTAATCATACAGTTTTGAAAATGTCCTATTGCTTAGATGAAGGCTCTGAGGAACACAAGTTATAATAGCTCTTCCTTTAAAGGGAAACTTTTTGTAACTTCAGCTGTGAAATTTTGACATGTGGCTTTGTTGTAGCTTGCCCAAGTTCAAAACTGTTGTCACTCATGGAAGATGACACTGCAAGGTGATTTATCATGGAGTAAGCAGAGCAGGACTACTTTCTCAAATTCCAGTATAGCAGAAGAAAAACAGCAACTTAGTCTCTGTCACGTGATGTACATGATAATGGCACTATAACTATGACATGAAAAATGGATTGGAAAGAGAAAAAGTACCAGAATTAGAAAAGAAATCATGTTTCCAGTTTTCTTTTCCTGAAAGATGTAGGTCAGGTTGATACTTAGAGAAACATCTTTTTCTGGACATACTCCTCATCTTTGCTATGTTAGATGGTTTTCTGTAGAGACAGGTGTATTTTGCAATGTATTCCTGAAGATTTTCATTGCTAGATAAGGGCATTTATGAAGTACAAACTGAGTGTAGCTGCTATTAAGTAAGCTTTTTTATTTTTTTCCTTCTTTTCTCCACTCCTCCCCCTTCTCACCCACTAGCCCGCCATTTGTCTGTGTGTCTGTGTCTGTGTCTGTGTGTGTGTGTGTTGTGGTTTGGTTTGGTTTTTATGGCTTACAGCCACTGGGTTGGGACCTGGCAGAGCAATTTGTTGGGACACACCTGCTCACCAAGGCTGTTTGGTAGTGTCAAATTATGTAAGATTGGTGTCAATTTACCTGAAGCTGTGAATTCTTTAATTATTCACATTTTCCGCTTGTAGTGACGTGAGCAAAATGCAGTTCTATTTATA